TATCCTCCATTCAGTTGTAGTAAAAGGAAATCCCGTTTCGTGTCAACAAGAACTATCGCTACATATTATACACATACATATTGGTTACAAATACAATACAACATTCAAATAATTTCTAAATACACAAACGCTAGATGTATTTTATATTAATGATATTAGATACAGCCAGCGCTTCCTTTTTGCAAATGGTATTAGGTACCTATTAACATACTAAATTTTATCTAAATCTGTCCAAACGTTTCAAAGTGAAGGAGCAACAAACATACGCACATACATATACAAACTTTTATATTAATAGTAGTAGTAGTGATAAATCATAATATGTTTATTAATGCACCTCTTTATTAATAACTAGCGGCTCACCCTCGCTTCGCTCGGGTTCGCCTCTAGAAAAATACTAGTAGAGATCTATTAGTTCCCACGGGAACCGTTCATTTTTCTGGGATGAAAAGTAACCTGTTGTTTGACCGGCAATATGAGGTATCAAAATGTTAAATTTTACTAAATTAGGTGCATAAGTTGTTGTGTACTAAGCTGTATAAGATACTATAGTTTTTTAACTATCCCACGGGAACTCTTTAATTTTCTGGGATAAAAAGTATCTAAGATGTTGCCCGGGGATATAAGGTACTACCATGCAAAATTTCATTAAATCGGTTCAATAGATTCGGAGATTAGCCCGTACAAACAGACAAACAGATAAACAGACAAACAGACAGAGCAACAAAAAAATTGAAAAAAATCTGGATTTGTTCTATTTGTCTCCTGTTTTTAGCATTTTTTTGCTATGTACAGACATTTGACCTCTACTGTTTTATTATAGTATAGACTAGCGACTCACCCTTGCTTCGCTCGGGTTCGTTCCTACGTTGATTCGCCATACAAATATTCACCCCCTTAAGGGATGATTTCCGAGATAAAAACCCTATGTCCTTCTGAGGGTCTCAAACTATCTTCTTACCAAATTTCATTTAAATCGGTTCAGTAGATCCAGAGATTACCCCCTACAACGTCACAAACGCACAATTCACAAACACACAAACTTTACCTCTTTATAATATTAGTATAGATCACCACTAACTAAACAATAAAAAAACGTAAACTTAACTGAATATGAGCAACGAAACCAAAAGTGAAGCTAGTATCTATCAAATCATCACAGAACATATTTACGTTGCTTCGATATATGTATAAAAGTTCTATGACGCATGTTACACGGCAGTTCCTTAATAAATTTAAAATCAATATGTATTTTCAGTTGATATAAAAAGTTATTTATAAAATATAGTTTACTTTATATACGACTTGTCCTTGACAAAATTTTAACTGACAGACAGATGCTTTATGGCCTAAACTATTTACGCGTTTAAAAATAACGTTACAAGCATCCACATTATAGTAAATAAGTGGTTATTTCCAGCCAAAACATAATTTCTTGATATCAAAATCTTAGATGTAACTCATATGATATATTATGTACATTGTACATGCATATATATGTATGTTATTATGTATATACTATATAAGTATTTAAAATTAAATTTTATATATTTTATCATAAGTAAGAATTTAACTTATGTATCCTAGATCTAGAATATATAAAACTACTTAGAATCTCGTGGAGTTTTTATAGAGAGAAATTATGTAGTCTTAATAATCTACGAACCCGTTTATTTGTTAGCTTTCTTGTAATAACAGTTTGCACTCGCCATATAAGCTTGACTATCACTGTATAACTTTACTATAAATATATATAACTTTGTATCAGAAATGAAGACGTCGTTGAATATTGTATATAATGAAATATTTTTCTTTGTCAATTTAAATAAATTGTATAAAATATTGTCACCGACAGACATAGCGTCGTATGGTTTGCTATTTTTAATTAGGTTTATGTAGGCCACTCTTTCTATCATGTGTCGTGGCAAAGAAATGCAACTTTTATGAGTTTTTTCCTAAGTTTGTTTAAAAAATATTATTTTTTATTTTTTTTAATTATGTTATTCCTTATCGGAATATTTATTTAGTTTGTTCTCTAAATACTGTTCCCGTGGACATTATTAAACTTTACATAAGTTTGATGTTTTGTAACAATATTCAACACTCAACTCTGTGTTTGTTTCTATTTTCTTTCTACTTCCCTAGCAATGAATACCTATCTATCTCTTGTCCTCAGGACTAATTAATAGCAACTATAAATTTTAGTACAGTTTGCCCTTTTACAATTGCATTACAAGACATATTACCATTATCTAGTTTACTATTTATGCGTTTGATAGCATTTTAAATGCTATTTATAATAATAATTAATACCATTACAATAGTACTTATACAATATTTTAAATGCTACTATTCTCTACTATTCTGCACTAACTACGACTATGTTAGTGATAACATCCATATATTATTAAACTTAAATGTAATCTACATACATACTTACTTAGTCCTATTTATCTTTTTTTTAGTAGGTACATTCTTTAAACTCATTGTGCTGATAATTTATATAGATACTAGCGTTTTCCTGCGGCTCCGCCCGCATAGTACATTAATCACTAACATATCATATACTAAAACCTTCTCCGAAACACGCTGCATCTTATTATATTATTATGGTATGAGTATTATTCCGATCGGTTCCGTAGTTATCGCAGTATATCCGAACAAAAAAATCGGCTCTCCATTTATTAGTATAGGTTTTTCTAAGTAATAATATTAATGCAAAAATGTATCTGTCTGTTAAATCAAATAAACAAGCACTATACGTTTGAACCCACGTTACGATACGTTCTTCGATACTATTCGTGCCTTCTACATATTCTACGATATGTGTTAATAAGTTTTTCATACGAATTTTGTCTCTATATTTTAAATAATAGATCTATTCGCTCAGGACTCTATCAAATAAGTAAATATATCAAGGTATATCATTAACGCACTATAACATATATAGAATGAGATATGAACAAACATGCAAACTTAATTTCACATATATAATAATCTCTATACAGTGTAGATTATGCATTTATACTGTAATGTTTACTAACGGACTTTATATCCCTGTCGGCTCCAGCCCGTGCGTACAAACCAAATACCTACGCTAGTTAATATTTGCAAATCATATCAGCAAATGCATTCTTGGAATTTTCAACTTCAATATAACCTAAATACAAAAAAAATGGCCGTCAGTATTATGACATACATTTAAATAGATAGAAATCACGCGAAACAACTAAAAGGTTATCTTCCACTCCAATCTCGCTGAATTTGTAAGTTCCGACAATTTCCACTAATCATTAGTAGATTTAGATTAATGAGTTGGTCTAAAAAGTTATCTTTTATAATATCATTAATTATTCTCAGGATTTGAAATGTTAATTTTACAAGTGTAAGGTTGCATTTTTGTATATTGAGTGTTAAAACACTACTAAAACTATTAAAATAGAAAATAATATATTTGATTAATTTGTAATGATTTATGTATAAGGCATTTACTTATGTGACCTTGGCCGATAGTAATGTGCTTTAAAAAATTAATAAAAAAGGGCGCGGATATTCATTTGTTTTCCCGCGCTTTTCCACAGAGATGTCGGTACCATCATGTAGTGACTAGGCACGAATTGTTTGTAATACTGAAAAATTATGATTATAAATTATGTAACTCACTGACGTTTATAAAAGTACTGAATATAAGAATATAAGCAAGAAATATCTCGAAGTTTTATTAGGGGACAACACAAGCTTTTTTTAATTGAATAACATACGAGTGTGAGTTTGTATTTCTTATTACTTGTAATTTATTTTTTAAACAGGTACAGCAAAGTTAAGTAGTAAATTAGTATACTCGTGGTATACTTAAGTATAGGAATTTCTTGACAAGATTATTTATAAATTAAAGCTTTTTACATTTATTACAAACTAACCTCGACCCCTACCGAACGAATCACCAAACGAATTTATCTCGTTTCTAGGTGCCTTTTGTATCTATGATATTATATACAAGCAGCGCCATCTTTTGGCATATTTAATTACTAACGGTAGCCTATCTGTCCAGGTCTATGTACATTCAAATCCGTCCAGCCAACATACAAACATTCGCATTCATATGTATGTTTTTTGTCTAAATAAATAAAACAAGGCTATAAAATTTTTTATTACCTTTGAAGCTCAATAAGTTCATATAATTACGAATTTAATTTCACATAGATTACAACACAAAATGTGCATATAAAACAGTTCTATAAAGGAACTAGTAAATGTTTGGACTTGGCTATTTAGCCGAATGAAATTTCTTATCAGCCAATGTCGATGTCCTATCGGACATACTATTTGCTGATCTCGCGATATCGCTAGTGCCTATTTAGCTTTTGATGCCGGAATTAAATAATGTTTTACGCATATCTACTTACTCGTATAGGTTACAATGTTTGATACAAACGTTAAAGCTTTGTATTAAGCTAAAATGTTAACAATACACAATGTAGTAAAATAATAAGCGACGCCACATTAAGACGGGAGAGGTTCCGTTGGGTTTTAGTGGGTAGTACTGGCGTTGCCGGTGAGTCCGACATATCCACCTGTATGTATGCAGGTGGTATGCCTAAATGCATTTCCTAATGTTAAAAAAGTAACATAATAAAAACTATTATAACTTTAATATATTATTATTAATACAGATCTAAGTAGTATATCTAAGTAAAATATACCAAAATAAATAATAATCTAAACAAAAAATTACAATAAAATAACGACAAAATTTATATCACAAACATAATTCTGTATATTATTTACATAACTTTTGTCAGTTCATTTTATTAACATTTTATTTAATTATATCTCTCATCACATCGGTAGCTATGCTTTCACAGATGAATATTTCTTACCAATCGTAGATAAGAGGTTAGATTCAACAGTAAAAACAGTTCTTTATTGACAAATTGTGTTTTGTCGAGTTCAAGAAGTGAATATTGTTAAGTGTACTTACTACCTACCTACACTAAAATATGGCGACCACAGCAGTACTGTTCCTAATGGTCGTCGCGACAGTAAGTATTGATTTTTTTCATATTTTGTTGTTTTTGACCGACTTCAAAAATAAGAAATACTCAATTATTATCTATGTTTCTCTTGTGTGCTTATGTTACGCGATTTCTTAACTAATAATTGTGATAAGACTTTCATAACTGCTTTTCTTTCAATAAATAGGTCCAAAGATGGTCTATTATTGACAAAAGAGTTAAAGATAAAAAATTAAAAAAAACCCAACTTCCAGGCACTAAAATGTAAAAAAATAACTAAACGGAGGTTTTCATTTAGAATAGATACCTACCTAATCAGATATTTTCGAAGTCGGTGCCAGCCTACAATATTTTAAGATATGAATGTCTAATAGGTAAATATGATTTGCTTTAATGATTTATATCAGTCTAACTCTTTTAGTTAAAAAAAATGAAGTCATACGGTATTTAATAAATATATGTGTTAATTTATTAAATTGTTAATTATATGATAAAATATTCTATAATATAGAAATACGGTACACTTATTAAAACCTTCATAATTTTTTTAATTATACTCATACTATATTTGTATTTTTTAAGCCAATATGAAATAGTCACATTGTAAAATAGTATTTTTAAAGTGAACTTAGCGTTCATAGTTACTAGTAGGACTTGAATGGGAAGCTTTAAATCTAGTTTGAACTCGCCCAGCACACGGGGATAGTAATACCCTGGAGTGCTATTAAAGTCGAGTACAAACGAGGTAACTACGAAAATCAAGTTCACCTCCTCGTACTTACGACTAAAAGCTTAAGTATCTTTTAACCTACTTCCATTTTACTTTGATGTCAGGACGTACCTACATTTTTTTATATATAACGATCATTCGATACGTGTAAATCACACATATTGTGATGATGTCTAGACGCTCAATTTCAAATCATTGTGGTCACCTAGTGTTGATTAGGAAATTTGTGAATCGTTACGTTTGTTTTCTCAATTAGGTCAAGTGCTCATTGTAGGTATGTTTGATACATTTTTACTTTTGCATGTTGTTATTAAATGTTATATATTTTCGAAATGACTTTTGAGAGATATACTTACTTTTTAAAATTTGAACTACGAGTAGAAGAAATTCATCATTAAGTATGAAGAACATTCACGCGTGTTGCCTCATTTGCCGGTCGTAAATTGTGGCATTGAAATTGTTAGCTCATTTTTAGTACCAGGAAATCAATGTTATCGTCAAACGTAGCGGTGGTTATAAAGCGTTTACCCAGTTCTGTTTTATGAGCCGCATGTCTTTTGTTTTAATAATATTTTTGTGTTTATATTTAATGAACCATGTTGGCGCCATCTCAATAGCGAGATTTGTTTGAGAGCGGATATCACGTACACGAGCGAGCTTTCAATTCATTACACACGATTCCACATTTGCTTAACGAGTGCTAATTACCTTTGACGTTATATTATAAAAAATAATGAACGATTCAGTTATATGTAATGGGATTTATTCAAAATATTTGTACAATAAGTTTTAATTACCAATTCAGCTACACAAATACTTCTTATTAAGTAAATAAAGCGAAAAATGTGGAGTTGTTTTTCTATTTAAAATAAATGAATAGCGTGCACCAAATTAGGTATACATAGTGTTTGTTCTTAGTATTACGGTTAAATATATATATGTAATTAGTATGGAGTTCAACATTTTATAATAGCCAGTACATGCGCATATTACATAATTATTCATATTATAATTATAATACTTTACATATTTACACTATTTCAATGAGTAATATTGTGTGGAGTGATAAATACGATGCGACCCACTTGACTGTTCTGCAAGCGGTGTTTACAGTGCCTTTGTCACTCCCCACTTTTGTTTCATTTGCAGACAATTCTTTATGGCTAATTTAGAATCCTACTTATCTGATTCAATTGTTTATTCGATCTAAATATTCGGCTTCATAAATTCCTTGTTATTGTCGAACTCGTCGCCAATTCCATTGTCTCGTCACCCGCCATTATCAATAATGCCTAGATTTTATTCTAGATGGTCATAAATCAGTGTCATTTAAGTCTGTTTGCAGAATATAAAGCAATCAGGCGTGAAGTCTTCCAGAAATGTCCTGCGTGTAATTAGACGGATACAAACCAAGCGATCGCGATTTGAACAATTTGACGTATCGGTGAATATTTCAAGCTTCATGACGCTGAAACCAGACTGCGGAATTACGCCCGCGCCCGGGGGTCGGGGCAGCTATAAATTTATAAATCCAACCGAGTCAACCTCATCGTGTATGATAATGGAAAGTCAACGGCTGGTCTAGTTACATTAATAAATGAAACTTCAGTGTAATTTATATACGTCGGTCTATTGTCTTAATTATATACCACGTTATAATTTGCTTAGAAGGCTATAATATTTGTCTTATCGTGATAGTTTTAACTATTTTTGGCTTAATAAGACATTGTCCTCATCTCTATGTATGCATTAAATTGCATACCCTAAACGTTTCGGCCTTGCCCGTGTTCAGCTCCGCCATAAACGACAAACAATTGAAAGTAATAAAGGCACACGTAGGCACGTCTAATAAAGCCAGCTGATTCCGCATCAAATAAAAACTGAAGTTTACGCTTTTGTGGAAACGATGCATCACCTTCTATCTCTACTTAGAAATAATCATGGTTTCTGTAACAAGTTTGACACTTAATTTAAAAATAATAATTTTAAATATATTAGATATTTAGTAATATTATGATTACAAATTAAGTCGATCCCCAAAATAGTGTTATTATAATATATTTTCTATAAGTTGGTCGTATTTTCATAATTACTTTATAACATTATGGAATATTAATTCATACAAACAACATTTATAATATCATTATGACCGTTGTGGAATCTACTTAATTTATATTAAGTGTTTTATTGGTCCTCCGGCGTCTAAAAGACATTATCAAACGATCTGACAGTCGTCATATTTTAAACATTTAACTACTAGAATTCGGGTAAAGTAAAATAATGAGTGGGCCTATGGGGGCGTAATGTGCTCCCGGACGTTACGTAAATGCTTTCGTTTCATTAATACTGGTTTCGGTACTAACACTTTATTTTGAGCTCTTTTTTAGTGATGCCGATCGAAATATGTAACATTTTTGAGGCTACCCTTTTTTTTCTATTGCTTAAGTCCTTTTACAATATATAAGAACGGAATATCCTTTGTTTATCTGTGCGGGTCATCAACACTGAACAAAAAGGGTCTAGAAGTGAATGAGACTCTTATATCACGGCCATCTCAAGGTAATCTAAAAAATGCTATTTCGTCGGACACTATATACTCGCTCTAGGCTATGTGACGTTGTTAAGAATAAGCTCATGTAATAGACACCAAGGATGTATATTGTATACTATATTAAATTACATATTTCTGCGCTCTGTCGTAATATTTTAAATGTATAGTATTTAAGTTTGAAAACAAACTTGAAGGGTATACAAAATATAGTTTATATTAAAACTAAAGTTATATGTAAAAATAAAGACACATCTTGACATATATTGTAATTAAATTTAATTATGTCATTGTGTAACTATATAATCTATGCTGAGGAGATTGTTAGGTTGTTTGTTTGAATGTTCTCATCTCTAAAACTACCAGTACGATTCCAAAATTCTTTATACATTTCATAGGTTTTTTATTGGAGAAGGAATAAACTATACAAGTGACGCCGCGCGTAAAAGCTAGCTTGAAGTAATCTACACTGGCGGTGGTAATCGATTTTATTCTATCTTAACATATTTTTAATTTAGCTTTTAATTGAACATATTTCAACCAAGCAATGTATTGAGCCTAAAGATTCTTTCGCACTTATACTATTTCAATCTAAAGTAGATTTGGACGTAGTTATCTCGTATTCAACTCGTAAAACTGACATTACTATCGACTAATGTTCTACACGCATTAGTGTCACAACGAATGTTACGAAATGATGTAAGCATCGCTATATGCATCTTAATATTGACTTCAATTTTAAGCGATTTTTATCCCAGGGCTTTCATTGTGCTATGAAAGTTAGTTATAGAAACTATTTAAAACATGTTAAAGTAATAAAAAATACAATTATACACAAATTGTCGTATTATCTTATTGAATGAAATAATCTAATATAAGTCATATGAAGTATATTTTGTATACTTCAATGATTAAATAAATCGTTATAAATCTTAGCTCTTGGATAGTTCGTGATGCGAAGAAGGATGTAAGTTATTTTATTGTCTGACCAAAGGATATACGTGAGAAAACATTCTATTTATCTAAGGGTGTAGTTTTGTCAATGGTTATAAGAAGATAATAATCTAGTTTAGGGTTATTACTTGTATTATACAAATTTCCGTCTACTCTACTTAATAAATAATAACCTTTTAAAAATCACATGTTTCGTTGGTGTAGTGGCTAGTATGTATGCCTGACATTTTATTACCTGCAATATTTGGAGGTAGTAGGTTCGAGTCCTGGGTCGAGCGAAGTATAATATTCGATTCTTCAGTGCAGTTCAGAATATTCTTAACAAAAAGCCCGAATTTGGGAATTTGGGGATCTTATTGTACTCCCTTGCCTTAGTGAGTACGCGTAAGCGCCGGTGAGAGACCGGTTGGGTCTAAGTGTTATCCCACAGGACTTTCGAAGTGAAAGGAGTAGAGGTGCACTTGTATTTGCGAACATATTTTATGCCATTTAGGTTAGCCACTGTGGCCAAAATTAGGTACTCAGAAAAAAGTCAGATATACGTAGAAAACGGAGAAATTTTACTATCACTTCTGTCGTATACGACATATTTTGTAAAAACTTTTAAAAAAAGGAATAAATAAAAATGTACTTTAATGTGATGAATTCAAGTATTGATAGCCGAATCGAATGTACCAAGAATCATTACTTTAAATTGCAGAGCTTAAGAACACCCAATGCCATGGTTTGTAGGCGTTCGCCACGCCTGTCAATATTATGTTTCAATCATCGTTCCGTCGCCCAAAGAGCTCTAATTCAATAGACCTGTGACCGATCAAATTTTCACAATTTGTTTCATTAAGTATAATAAAATATATATTTTTTTACCACGCAAATTTAAATATTTTTTTATACCTATATACATATTATACCATATTCACGTATAAAATGTAAAGAATTTAGCGCTACTATATTGTTACTGACCGCTTTTAAGGTAGGCTTAATTTTATAGCTGAATAAATACATTTAATTGATTGCTTCGATTTTATTGAAATTTAAATGGTCAATTAACCACGCTCAGGTAATAAAATTTCGATTGATAGCGCTTTTGATTACATCATATTGTTGTAAATTCGAATAATTTTTAAATTAAGAAAATCCTTTTAATTGCCTACAACGAATTTCAATATTATATATGTACAGAAGCGTCGTATAATAAATTTATTCTTTACTTTTAATGCACTTCTATAGTATATGTTCAATGTACATACCAGACTTAATAAGAGTATCGTACTTTACGAGTATAAATATAATTTGAATATATAACAAAATTGCAAAAGGCTAAGAATTATACCCATAAGAATATTATGGATATATACGTAATATTTTGCTCAATATATAAACGAAGGAACAAAGCAAGGTTCTTACTCTACTGTACTATAATTACCGAGCGACGCTGGCGGGCTCTACACGACATCCATGTAATATGCTGACGTGTTAATCCCTACCCTGTACACTTGGACGTAGCTCATCGTATGGGAATGACCATGCCTAATTCAATATTGCGTATAACGTACTTACAAGGCCTTTAAATACTTAATAGGTAGTAAAGGAAATTCTGAAATATGTGAAAAGGATTGTACACGATAAGGTAGAGTCTATTTATTTATTACCCTCAATATATTTTTATGAATAAAAATTTATTTGAGACATTATTTATGATGAAAAATTACATTCAATGCCTTAATCTAATAAAATAAAATTATTAAAGTAGGTACGTAGAAGGTAAATCATGTATTTTGTACCACGTAATATAAGTGCATAACTATTGTATTGCAATATTGTAAACAAATATAATTTTTGATAGAGCTACTGTTGAGTTTCTCGCTGGCTCTTGTCAGCTTCTGAACTGCCTTACGGGCCAATGGTAGCTTCCTCAAGGACTACAACCTCACATTTAATTTAAAAAAAATAACGATCAAAAAATTCTAAAAGTCTTGCTTGTAAAAGTCTATTTATGTTTTATAGCTAGCAAGGTAAATATTTGAATAAAAACTTCAGTTTTGTATTTTTTTTAAATGTACACTTTTGTTCTCAGGTGGTAGGGCGAGAAGATGTCCTCGCATCTACCGCTAACCGCGACTTGCATTGCGGCCGCCGCCTCGTGTCCGGGCTGTTCTCGCGGCCTCGTCTGCCGCTGGGATACTCTTACGTGACCACTGTCCCCCGCGGCGCGTGCAGACTAAACGTCTCCGAAATCGTCTCTAGCGAAAATTACATAGGTATTGATTTATTTTTATCTACAAATATTATCAGGTAATCTTATATTTCAATCAGTATATCTTGTGTACGCTTTGTTCTCAAATTAAATAAACATGAGACCTTTGACACGACTTTATCGCAAATATCTATCTATTATTATGTACTTAGATGCAAGCGATAATGTCGCTATAACCAGGTGTGCAGATAACAAACGAGTGCTCCTAAAATATAGTTACTGTTACGCATGTTGAAATATTTGAATGGGTCATGACAAGTTAATGAAGGAAATCGTTATAAATTAGGTCAAATTTAAAGAAATAATTTCATATAGTCGAAGTAGCTTTGATTGAACTCGGTCATACCAGTTCAATTGTAGATATACTTAGTAGTAAATTAGCAATGAGCAGATGCTAGGTCCAAGGCCGTTTCATAACGCTTTCGGTCACAATAGTGCCAGCCAATAGTTATCAATTTTTATTGGAGTTATTTGGTTCTCGAATAGTGGGTCACTCGATATTTTAATAGAGAGATGAAGAGCGCACTAGTGCAAAGATCGATGTCGAATCGATTTATCGAAATTACAGGCATACTGGGTACTGGCAAATCGCTCCAATAGAAGCGCCTACGCCGCAAATTGTGAGATAAATGGAGATAGCCGCCGCTACAATTGGCGAGTAATTATTTCCATGACGCACTGCATATGCTCGAGGATACCAATTCGCTGATTGTTCCGTAAACATTAAGATCAATTTCGATACCTTTAACATATTGGACGGTATAGATATAAATATAAGACTTTTGACAATAATTAAAGTAATACAATATGTTTTATCAAGAAATTAGAATCAATTTACAGTAAAACATTTAGTTATTTTTAACAGTACGTGAATGTAGTAATTACTTATTTTAATTTTAGCACTAAGAGTATCTAATGGCTCTTACATTGTAAATGGCGAATTCGCGGTGAGCGCTCCGGGCACCTACGAGGCAGTTGGCGCAAGATTCATATACTCTCGAGCAGCCGGACTCGATAATATTTTTGCGATGGGACCTATACACGAATCTATCGATATAATGGTAACTACTATACTTCTTTATATAATAAGGTACCTAATTGTTTTTTTTCTCTCTGGTACTAAACCTTAATTATATTCTAGATCTTGTATACGCAACCAAATCCGAATATAAAATACGAATACCTTACTGATTCAATGCCAGATGAAACAAGTAACGATATCCCGACTGCAAGTAATGTTGTAGAACATCATCAAACTCAGAGGCATCATCGACATCACAATGCCGAATCACACACGAGAGTTTTGGAAAACTCTGCACCTTCACTTGCGAAACAACCAGAGGGTAATTCCGCAGAAAGTCAATATCAAATAGAAAGCAATGTAATCGGTGACAGACAATTTGTGTGGAAAATATTGTCATATACACAATGTTCGAGAACTTGTGGAGGTGGACTTCAGATCGGAAAGTTTAAATGTGTTGAAATAGATGGTAAAGAGGATCGTGAAGTCTCTCCAGCACATTGTACTGGGTCTCCACCTCAGTCTCGTCGTAGGAGATGTGGGGTCGCTCCCTGTCCTCCACGTTGGAGGGCGGCCGCTTGGGGTCCTTGTCCCGTCTGTGGTCCAGCTCACCGGACTCGAATTGTAGGATGTGTACAAGATCATGCACGAGGAATCACTAAGGTATGCTCTTGTTTTTCTATATTTAAGAAAAACTACATCACCTATAATTTTTTTAAACTTCGTAAATCGAATAATATCGTACATGTGTATTAAAAAAATTTCGTTTTTCAGATAAGCGACCAAAAATGTCCATTACCTACGCCACCAAGTAAGGAACTCTGTGATGTACCCAATTGTGATGGCACACCTGCTAATGCTAACAGTTCACCACGACTCGACGCGCGCCGTCAAATCCGACCATATGACAACATCGACACATTCAGAGAAGGACCAGTAATATCACTTGCTACTAATGTATCGGATAATGAAATCAGTCCCTTAGAAGAACCGAAATATAGCTTCAGCGCTGCCGGTGGATGGTTGTATACTGAATGGTCACAGGTAATAAAAGTTTTGCTTGAAAATCAACTATTTGTACTGAGTAAAATTATTTCTACATTTGTTGTATCTACAGTGCGTGGGATGGTGTGTCGGAGGCGGAGTGCAGAGCCGGGGGGTCCGGTGTTCAGAAATAGAAGGATGTTCAGCTCATCGTGCTCCACACTCCACACAAGCTTGTTCTCCAAAGAAACAATGTGATGCGCAATGGTTTACTGGTATGTTTGTAAAATTATATTTTAGCTATTCGGATAATCTTACACATTTTTTTATATAATACATACGTTAGGATTAAATATAATCGATATTATATTTTTCATTACCACAGGTGACTGGTCGCCTTGTTCAGCGAGTTGCGGCGGACGTCAAATACGGGGGGTAATTTGTATAGGAGGGAACGGGAGAAGGTTACGCGATGCCTCTTGTAAAGCTCCTAAACCAGAATCGGAGAGAGACTGTGGTGGAACCTGTGCACCTTCCTGGTATCTTAGTGATTGGGGAGAAGTAAGTGGTTTGATATTATGAGTCACAAATCATATTATTACGTTTATAATACTTAGTTTGCTTTCTTTATAAAATACAATAATAGTTAAAGACTTTTTTATTGATATATTTGCCATGCCTGAAGTCACTATTTTTTATTTATTCTTGTAATAGGTACAAGCAAATTTCCTTTACCTTTATCTTTTTTATATTCATAGGTTTTAAAAAATAAGGTGAATCTACAAAAAATATACCTTTTTTTTTTTAACGTTGGGAAATGCATTTACGCACGAGGTGTGGGACTCACCGGCAAAACCAGTACTACCCACTAAAACCCAACAAAACCTTCCCCCGTCTTAATGGGGCGTCGCAGGATCGCTTACGCATTCAACTACGACGCCCCGACGGCAGGTCTGCCGAAGCAGACCACAACAACCACGGGGTTGCTCCACAGTCCACTCTGCTATCAGAGAAGTACCAGGAGCAACCCGCATGGTACACTGCCCTCCGAAGAGGGCCACCTCCTACCGCCCACCGAAGTGGGCCTCCTCCCTGTGCGTTTCTTGGCTTCGCGCCCGGTTGGGTTGCCGGGCACTACTGAGCCCCCCCACCACGACAAGGTGAACGCACGTTGGGGGGGACAAAAAATATACCTCGGTTATATGCTAATATTACTTACTACCGATTTACTCTCGCTTCGCCGCGCAATTTGTCTAGCCATTTAAAAGTAACAAACATACACACACACAGACACATACAAAGCTTCCTCATTTTTAATAAAAAAAGATTATACTTTAAGAAAAGATATTGGTCCCGCTGAGTTTCTTTCGCCAGTTCTTCTCAGGTCTGAGACTTCCTCTTTCCGAACTGGTAGTAGACTCATGACGTTCAGTAAAAAATTGTAATAATTTAATGCTGAATAAAATATTTTGATTTGATTTGAGTAGTATCTAATATTATATAAAATTCTCGTGTTTATAACAATCTCCTCCGAAAGGGCTTGATCGATTCTTATAAAATTTTGTGTGTATATTCAGTAGGTCTGAGAATAGGACATAAACTATTTTTCATACCCTTAAGTGATAAGAGTGTTCCACCCCAAAAAAAATATATTTAATTTTTGGACAAAAAAAAATATTTTGATTTTTTTTATGATTCCGCATTAAAAAATACATACAAATCTATATTTTCACCCTTCTACCAACAACGCCTCGATTACTTACATTATTTTCTACTTTCAAAAATCTATACTAACGGTTAAAACGTAACGATAGTTATATGGAAAAGATTATTTTTTTGTATGTAGTGCTATTTTCTTCACGTACCTACTCGTTATATATAACTCGTATATGTGATGTTACATAATGCACTAAAAGTATTAGTAACTAAATAACTTATCTTATCAACTCAGTGCACGGGTCCCTGCGAGGCGGGCTTACAGAAGCGCACGGTGCGGTGCGCGCGGGGCGGCGCGGCGGGCGCGGCGGGCGGGGAGGCCTGCGCCGGCGCGCGGCCGGCGGCGCGGCGCTCCTGCGTGCCCGAGCGGTGCACCTCCAAGCCTGTCGTCAAACCTGCCACTGAGCTCGCTATAGGTATGACAATTTTATTCTAAACTACTTTTATCCGACTGGGAATGAGACCGGTGATGTGTTTGTGTGTCTTTATGTTTATGCTATGATCTTAATCTCCCAAAATAAAGAGACGTGACGATGAGCGAAATTAAAGAAAGATAAAATAAATGTAAAATCACATATTTAAACACATACCTACAGCATTCGAGGAATACAATAACAGCTCATTTTCAATGCATACATTATTATATATGTACATAAATAATTACTCCTTTCTTTAGCCCTTTCTATTTCGTATTATATACATACATATATTTAATATTATGAAGCTGAAGAGCTAATTATATTTTTTAGTTTCATCACGCTAATCTCAGAAACTCTTCTTCTTCTTCCTGCCCATTTCCCAATCACTTGAGGTCGGCGCAGTACATCTCCTGTACTGCTGATAGGATTTGGCAAAAGTTTTACGACTGGCCGCCTCACGCCTGCCTGACGTCAACCCTCCTTGGGAATGCTATCGTTTCTCTTTGTCTGAATGGTGTCGCGAAGTCTTGTAATAATTATGCACTTTCGATTTTGTTGTCTTTTAAAACATTTTTTACCCTATTACATAAATTTTTAATGTTATTTTCGGATATATTTTAAAATAAATTTTGATTACACCGTAAATTTTGTTTTGACGTTGTCAATTTTTTTCATAAATCAATTTTTTCTAATCTCAGAAACTACCAGTCACATTTGAAAAAAATCTTACAGCGTTTTATACCCATTGAGGAAAATTGAAAATTATTTAAGATCAGGCTACGACTAAATTAAGCTAGTAAATTAGGAGCAAAAGTGGCGGCCATAAGATTTCTTAATAGTAAATATTAAAATTTTGTGGAACATTTAAAAAAAATTGTCATATTGATCCCAGTTAAAGCTTCGCTAAAAGATAACGAGAGTTCCCTTGAAGAGAAAATATAGAGCAAGGTTACTTATTCTAACTGTGAACTCTAAAGTATAACAACTGCACCGTCGTAGCACATAATTATACCCGTTTTTATGACGTTGTATATTTATGGAAGACGAAAATTAGTAGCGGCAATGTAGAGCACACGATAGAACGTTGCTGCATTTATAAACACATTACGGCAATATATTAATTTGATGTTTACAATTCATCTCTAGTTTAAACTTGTGAATATTTTTGTATTACTACAAAATATATTTTTATATCATATACAAGGTTTCCTAAACTCGAATATTTGCTGTAATTTTTAGAATAATTTTCAAAGATTTTTCGCTAATCAGTGAAGTCACTGATATTACTAAATTTAATAACTCTTTCAATTTAAACAAAAATCAATTTAATAAAATTTAATTACTATTTAGTTTTTGCTTACTTAACCTGTCTTTCATGCAAAGGAATCACTGTGTATATAATACATACAAATAATTAGTATCACTTTCGGGTAAATTAATAACTTCATTACAGATCCACAGCAGCGTGTCACGCGCCACCAGACCCTAAACACCCAAAATGTTAGACAGCGTTCGTTTAGCAACGCGGACGGTACGTTTTATTTTATTCTGAAAACAACTAACTTTATTCACGTTTCATCAAGTATCATTATTATAAAGAATTAATAAACTAACTGACTTCCTTTACAATTATTACTTCATTATACTACTTTTAGGTATACGCCCGTACTAACTTACTCCAATAATTGTAATGGCCTCTTTATAAAGTTTACTGTTTATATTCTTTATATTAAGTTAGCGACTTACGCACAATTTACTCGGGCATGTCCCTAAGTGCCTAAAAGTAGTAGTCTATTTGAGTACTTAATTTTTATCCAAGTCCAGCCGTTACAGCGTGAAAGAGTAACAAACATACATACACACAAACAAACGCATACATTTTGCATCTATGATAGTAGTTCGATAAAAAACTATATCGAATGTAAAATGTGCAGGCGCGTGCGTCGACAAGCTGAGCAACTGCGCGCTGGCGCTGCAGGCGCGGCTCTGCCACTACCACTACTACGGCGACAACTGCTGCCACTCTTGCCACGGACGGTAAATTACGAGCGATGGTAAGATACACTTTAATTATATTTATTTAGTGTTTTATCTATACATTTAATGTAATTGTGACTAAGCCGAACCTGTACATTAAATATTTTTTGAAAAATCTTATTGAAATAGAATTATTATCGATACAGAGTGTGTCTGTCTGTCTGTCTGTGACCGCATCACAGAAAACCCATTGAAGAGAATGAGAAAATTGAAGAAAATAAGCAGCTTACACTAGACCATGTAATAATATTACTAAACTACATACGAGTATATAATGTATATATTTCATAATTTTATTTGTGTTAATTGAAGTGTGTATAAGAAAAAAAACCAATAATTTATAAGAAAGTGGCCCTAGAACTACAATAAATTAATTTTCCGGGTTCCGTACCCAAAGGTTGCCAACGGGACCCTACTATTAAGCCTCCGCTGTTCGTCTATCTCTTTGTTAGCGGGCTGTATCTCATGACCCATAGTAGTTGCAATTTTAACAGAGTATATATATTTCTATATTTGTATTGCTACTATAACAACAAATAATAAAAACCCAAGATGGTAAATTTCATAATTGGCCGCCATACAAATTAAACAAAAACGAGTCCGACTCGCATTTGACCGGTTTTTATTTATTTGTATGTTTATTCATGTTTAAAATTTTCAGGTACTCTCAAGAGGAAGAAATGTTTTGACTCATAGTATTGTGATACAAATGGACAAATAGTGAAATACACGAACATGTGTGTATGGCTTAGAACTAGAACCATGCGTACTTTCAATTATTAAGAGAATGTATTGGATATAGCATTAAATATTTGAAACTTAGTCTACAATTTATATTATGGCTAATCAAATTTATTATATTCAATGTAAAATTAACAATGTATCTAAAATTCTAAGTGTTTTCAAATTTCCCGTTCAAATTTGGTGTCGTTCATTTGTATTTCTATAAGTTAGGAATAGTTTTGTGATCTCCAGTGTAGACGTGTTTATGAAAGAAAATCATTTAAAATCACTTAATTCGAAATAAACAAACCAAATCAAATTAGCTCCATAGACGAAATGCTTGAATAATATAATAAAATAAATATTTCAATATATCAACGCACGTAATTTACTTCTGCACCATAATATTCCCTCTATCTGATACTTACAGATATATCAAAATGTGTATTTAACATTAGAGATTCAACAAAAATTGTATTATAATATAAGTTAGTTAACCATTGAAACTATTTTATAGATTAGTCATTATAGTGTAGGCGTTTAGATTAAGCTTTTATAGTATTCCTTAATGTTATGTAACAAAAACAATGTTTCTACTCGTAGTTTAGAAACAATGGCATTGTGTTCATTATTTATTGATTCAGAATATATTAAAGAATTTGTCCTTTAAGGTAGCGTCGCACCGATAAGATTGATGATCGATCGTGTGACATTCAATGATGCACAGTACCTATGTTAAAATATGCCATAGTTTAGTTTTGACCCGAATTTTAATGACGTCTTTACTGTTTCTGGCAAAAATGAGGTAACTTTAAATTTTCATTTGAATTATGCAATAATATTGTATGTCAACAAGAAATGTCCAGTGTGACATTACCTTAAATTTCAATTTTCATGTAAATATTTACTGTATTATGTATAGCGCATTTATTTACCGGCTGTAAGTATTTATAATAGCTAAAATACAATAACTTCACCACCATCACAATTATATTTAAATTGTTTCTACTAATGTTACAACTCTTTTCTGTATTAATATCGCGTATAACAACGTACAAAAATAATAAGCTTTAAACACCGACGTCTGTGTTTTCATTTATCAACACCACCCCCACCCCGCTTTCCGCTGTCCCTGCTATTTAATTTTCATGATCCTATTATGTCTAAAATAACTTGGTCAAACATTATATAAAAAATTGCGAGAAATGGGAGTCGAACCCATGACCTGAGCGTGCCAGTTACTTATTACATTTACATATAAATATATATGACCAGAAACTTTGTTTTGGACTAAAATTTAAATAAGAGTAAATAATATAAAAGTATAATATGCTAAAATTTCATTTTTATTCTTCACAATACATCTATAAGATAAAATAGACCACTGCTATACATTATAATTTTTTCTATATACTTATGATTCAAATAATGGCAACATAATATTTGCAAGCATTTTGCTGGCTATGTTGTGTAATTTTACTCGTAGCTTGTACAGAATAAAATCTCTTTGGAAGAAACTTAGAAACTTAAGGGCTAGAAAACAAACTCCAACGAAGGTATAAAAAGATGATATAACGACTTTTTTCAATATTAACATCATTTTCTTATCAACGCCTATAAAATGAAATATAAATGAAATTTATTTAAGTATAAAGTATAATTAAAGGTACTTAGTTGTGACTTACCTTTGTATATAACTTACAGTAATGTATATATTATGAAAAATAAAGTTTTTTATAAAAAAAACTGCCTGACAAATACTGCGCGTAAGAAGATTATGACACATTTCCAATAGCTGTAGCAAATAATCAATTGAATTTTAGAAGACACGAAATAAAAGAATTGAATTAAACAAAGCACTTTATTAGATAGAATGTAGTTAAAACTAATATAAGATATTAGAAGTAAAAGTAGATATAGCAAAAGTGTAAAATAAAATAAAAATGCAAATATATTTATTGAAATTTAATTTAATCTTCATATTTCCTACATAAAACAAAAATTAAATAAAGAATTAAAAAAAACTTCCATACAATTTAAGTATATTTTATTTATTTACATTCTCAGTACAAAATATTGCATTAATCAAGCCATTGTAAAATAGACCTTAAAATTCTATTCTCTAGATATAAAAAAAGTAATTAAATATCACACAAAATTATATTTAATTATTACAATATTTTTAATTATTATTATGAGATATTTTGCATAGAACACAGTATTGTTAAGTCACCACTCAATGTAGCTTCTAATATAATATAAATTGCCACCCATTTTTTATTCTTTAAAAAAATCTGTAAATTACAATTTTTTACTTAGCTTATTATAAGAAACTCTAGTGACATTAGATGCATTGGCTAGGAGAAAAAATATTAATTTATATATTATTTGTAATTTATAAACTTGATTCGATTTACGTATTTGATTAAACTTCAAATAATTGATCGAATGATTTCGTAATCGATTTATATTAATCGCAAAGGGTTTTTGTTATACAAACGCATAAAGGTGCTCATAGTCTGCAAGAATCACAACAGTTTTGTATATAATACTTATAATGGCAGAGTCTCGCTTGTACCGCTAACACACAGTTTGACAATTTGTCTTCACAATCTGCAAACAATTATTTAGTTAAAGCATTTTTCTCAAGGGGATCTATTTTATTTTCTTATTGCTTTTTTTTTTAAATATAATGTATTATTAAAAGATAGATAAATATTATGTTATAATAAAAAAACATTTAAGATTTTCATATAAAAATTATATTATATTTGTCTTAAATGTGGGGCTTACCTTTCTTATCAATACTTGGTTGTGTAGTTCGTTGTGTGGTTATTGGGAGTTCGGTTGCGGACTTTTGTGACTCTGTAACAATGAACCAATTAGTCTATATGATATTTGATATTTATCTTACTTAACAATGTTAAGTTAACATACACATAATATATATCAACATATAATACCTAATAAGTACAAAAGTAATACCTATATAAACGTAAATTATTTATTACTAAGCTATTATTATGAAAGATTTATCTATCTTTCCTGCTAAATCTTTGAAATTATAACTTTTAACTTTTAACATTAAGAAATTGAATTTCTAACATTATTTAATACTATAAATTTATATTTATGTGAATATAATTATATTCACAGACAGAACATTAAAAATCGATTACAAAATTTTTAGATAAATTCACATGATTAGATCATTAACTGATAGCATAGAATAAGAAAAAATATATAATATTACACAAAGTATAACGCAAATAAAAATGACATAAATTATTACCAATGGTAAGGTCGGGCGGTATGAGCGGGTCGCAGGCCGGCGCGCAGGCGCGCGCGGCGGCCGGCGGCGCGGCGCAGGCGCGCTCGCCCGCCGCGCCGCCCGCGTCGCCCGCGCGCGTGCACACCACCGTGCGCCGCTGCACGCCCGCGCCCACTGTGCAGTTACCTATACACTTTTGGATAGATATTTTCTTTTAGTTTTCAGTTTAATAGATCTATACATATAATAAAATTGTAACTAAGCCCAACCTGTACATTAAATATTTTTTGGAAAATCTTGTTAAAATAAACATTATTATCGATACAGACGTCGGATCTTTAGTTTTTAGAATTTTAGTCAGTCTGTCTGTCTGTGTCCGCATCACAGAAAAAACCCTGGGGGGATTTTGATGAAATCTGGTATAATGATAGCTGGTTATCTGGATCAACATATAGGATACTTTTTACTGCGGAAAAATATCTCATCTCTGAGAAATCTATACTAAACGTTAAAACGTAAATAGGGACGAACCTGAACAGAGCGAGGGTGAGTCGCTAGTTTATATATAAATAAAGTATCTCCAACGACTTATTTGTTGTAAAACATTCAGACAAAACTTTGACAAAATCCGACAAGATAGTTTTATTTAAACTTGATGATGATGATTTGACGTAAGGTTAAAAATTCTGAAATATAAATAGTAATTAAATCAGTAGTTAATTAAGTCACTATTTCAGCTTACCTTTACATGATATATAATACTTTTGCCTAAATCATATGATTTCCTAGTTTTTTTTATTTATTTTTTTATTAAATTGACCAAAATTAAAAAAAAATGTATGACTACACCAATAATAATTAATTCGACATTGACAGATGGCGTAATTTCATAATATTTTTATTAGAAAATAAATTTCATTTAAAAACATTTATATATAACTTTAAATATTTTTTATCAGATGGTCAAATTAGTCTCATTTCCTTTAATAAACTTACCTGCCCCCAATCGCTGTAGTACCACTGAGGAGGGCACTCGCCTCCACAAGATTGCTCTTGCACTGGTTTAGGCTCTTTACACGCAGAGTCCTTCAAATGCCTACCGCTGCCTCCTATACAAAGCACGCCGCGTACTTGCTTCCCACCGCAAGATGACGAACATGGTGACCATTCACCTGATATAATGTAAAACAAAATAACAATATTGTACGTATTTTAGATAATTATTAAGATTAAATTGGATATTGTATACTATAATAATATAAACTTTAAGCGCTTATTATTTTTGTGGAAAAGGCCGTTTCATGAATAATTCATATTACTAAAAATTGTAAAATTCACGTAATATAGTATTTTAGTATCAAAACACTATTCGATACATGGCGATATTTGAAAATAAAATATTAGGTACACGTTTAATTTTCCTTTGTAGTATTTGTTATGAAAGAATTTAATTATATCAGGTATAAAAAATAAAATTATAATATTAATTACTGAAATTTAGTTACATCTTACCAGTAAACCAGTGTCCATCGTGAGGTTCACATGATACCAAAGGGGTGCAGGCTCGAAAGGTGTCGGGAGCTGTGTGCGGACAGCCGGACGGGTCGGCGCACCGGACCGCGCGCGTCTGCAACCCGCCGCCGACACACCACCCTACACACTGGATGTTCGTTTTGTATAAGTTAATTAATTAATAAATAATAATTAATTAACTGTGAGTACGTTTGTTAATCCTTTATGCTAAGCCGGCTAGACGGATTTGGATGTTTAGCACACAGATAAACTATAAACCTGGAGTAAATAAGCCAGTTTTAGGCAGCTAGGGACGCTCGAAAGGAATGAAATGAATGGATCATAAGTAGACACTTATATGTACTATATATACTGTATGTTTATATGTATACTGTATGTTTATGTTTTAACTTTTGTGGAGACGAAATGAAATTTTTTTTAAATAATATTTACAACCACGTTCTCCAGTTACTCTAGTATTAATTTATCGGCGCCTACACTCTACTAATAAGACATCTCACTCTACTGAGTAAAAATGGAAGTGGCTTACTAACTGACAACGAAAGTAGCTTAATTTTATGTTAGCCTGATTAGGAAAATTAATAAAAATATTAATAATTACAAAAAACGTAAGTCTAACATAACCGGAACCGAAAAAAACGACAAAATATATAGGTTATATGATAAGTTTCTATGATAACTAAATAATAAATAAATAAATAACGCTAATAACTATTTACCGTAAATACATATAAAACATTAGTATACTTAAATCAAAATAACTACTTACCTCGGACCAGTCAGTATAAAGCCAGCTCCCAACACCAGCACTAAAGCTATACTCCGGTCCGATGTCTTCAGACGCATTCACTGCGATAGTATACACGGGGCCATCTCTGAACGCGTCCGTGACGACGCGCGGCTTAGCTCGCTCAATGTGCCTTGTCGCACTGAGGGAGCTGCAGTCTGGTATGTTACACGTATCTATTGTTGAAGGTTTTGGTGCTGGGCATTTTTTGTCGCTGATCTGAAATTTTGATCTAATTAACCTAGATGTTGATAGTAAGTCTTTGTTTACGCTTATGGAACAACTTTTCTTTATTGTTTTCGTTAAAAGCCCAATTTGAAATACACAATACTTATATTTCAGTATATACCTATTAAAATTTTAGTCCTAGATTTCATGTATATCGATATCATCAAACGTCTTGATGAGACCACGAACGCTGAGTGGTGTTACATAAATTCTAAGAGTAAAATCAGGAGAAATAACTCCTTACCTTTGTAATTCCCCTCGAGTGATCCTGAACACAACCAACAATCCTGGTTCTAGTCGCTGGTCCACATTGAGGACAGGAGGACCAGGCTGCGGCTCTCCATCGTGGTGCACACTGGATTCCCCCGCATCTACGTCTCTTTCCCGCGGGAGGAGTCCCCGTGCAATGTACGGGTGATATCTCTCTATCTCCGGTCGAACTCACTTCAACACATCTGTATTTGCCCACCTATAAAATCATTAAACTAGCATTTTTATTGCATTTTGATGGTTTTAGATAGGAATTTTATGGCCTGATAATAGTTATATTTTACAACTGTCGTAAAATTATTCAGCAATCATTATTGGTATGTGGAACAGACCAATTATTAATTAATTGTAATAAAATCAAGATTAGGTAGTAATAATTATAAAATATTACAGCTAAACTCTTCAGGTGGCAATTATTCAAAGAACAAATTAATTACTGTTTAAATTTTTAAGCATTCTCGCTACCCACCTGGATACCTCCCCCGCAACTCCTTGAACATTGAGTGTATGAAAGTATCTTCCATACAAACTTTCTTCCACCAATAACATTTTCAAGCACGCCTTCACTAGACACATCTTTTGTTAGTCCTGCTGAATCGGGATATTGAGGCTTTAAATGAGAATCGAACCCGTGGTGTCGTCGTGTATGTTTCGGAGATATCGTAAGTTCGGGTAAATTAGACTTCGTCACAGACTCTATGTCAACTTCACCTGGCAGTGATTCAGTGAAATATTCATATTTTATGTTCGGATTCGGGTGTGTATACAGAATCTGAAAATAATGTTACTTATAGCAGCCATACAATAAATGAAGTATTGATTATTTTTTGACGGACTGCTTAAAAAAACAGGTACTAAATTCGTCTATCTGTCATTTTTTAGTTAATATATTGCACGATGTTTTCGGTAATAATCGTGAATCGATTTTTATAATTTTGTAAGTCGAATAATTACTTATACGTGATTTTGAAGTCAGGGTACCTCTTTTGTTAAAAAATTATTCGTATCCATATTAAGAAAAAATATTTTAAATTTTAAAGTTTTGAAGAAAATAAAATTATTTTTGTAAGGAATATGTAACTATAATAGAAAATATAATATTTTATTATAATACGAAGTGTATTTTTATTTCCAATTTATATCGATTACTTAAGTAATAAAACAGGTGACTTAATAATATCTAACTTAAAATATAATTATTGTTATCTTACCATAATATCTATATCATATTGTATCGGTCCCAGAGCAAAAACAGAATCTAGTCCCGCTTCTCTTGTATACACGAATCTTGCCCCGGCCGCCTCATAAGTTCCGGGAGTACTGACTGCGAACTCTCCATTCATTATATACGATCCATTTGTTATCTTCAATGCTGAGGAATAATTACCATTGTCAAACGCTTCATTCATAACTTGATATATTCTAATAAGATATAACAAACATTAAACTCGTATCGTAAGGAAATCTAAACATCTCTTTGAATGTAGAAATAAATTTGATTTCATTCATATTTAAATTAGAAAAACAGACATTTGGAAAGTTGTAGTCGTAAAGCAAGTGCAAGTACATATCGCATGTCTAAATGTATTTAAGCGATTCGCAATATTCAAAGCTCGTTAGCGTTCCTCAAGTTTACATGGTGAAGAATTATTACGTGGTGTACCGGCTGGTATCTTATGCATTGACCCCAACCTTTAGCCTTGGTTCAAACAGATCGAGTTAATAAAGCTTGTACAAAATACGCTATTCAATATAACACTTTATACGGTGTACGTATACTGAACTGTGCTTTAAGCTTTGTGTTTTATTTTTGCTAAAGTTTTTTAGTTAAATATATAATAAAAACTGTTTATATATATATATATATATATATATATATATATATATATATATATATTAAAACTGAAGTTTAAAAAACCCTTCCTACCTTCCCAAGAAACAAACCAAATGCATGTCTAAATCCACAATCCACGTTCGACAGTTAATTGATTTCAAATAATGCGGAATCAACAGCAAGGCTGGGCGATTCATTGATAATCCATAGGACGATGTGGGCGCCTATTGTTGCGTTTACGAATGATTTACGAGCAATCCGACGTAACACTGATTGATAAGTGACTAACCTAATGTTTGCGGCCCATTTGCCTTCATCAAAGGACCATTGACTGCAAACAAATGAATGTCTAACGCGAATGCGAACTCTGTCAAGCAGAATTCATCTGTCACTGTAATGATGTTTTCAACAGCTCAAATTGAATAAGTGTTGTAAATTCATATACGCATTGTGACAATATATTATGGTGTTCATTTTTATATTTTGTGTATTTATAAGGTCGTTGTGGTCTGCTTCGGCAGACCTGCCGTTGGGGCGTCGTAGTTGAATGCGTAAGCGATCCTGCGACGCCCCATTAAGACGGGGGAAGGCTTTGTTGGGTCTTAGTGGGTAGTACTGGCAGTTGGTCAAGACCAATGGCTTTACACGATCTTCGAGACACAGAAGTGTAACTCCACCAAGAGAATGTTAACAGAAAGATTCAATAATTATATGTACATAAATAGCCCGACGCGAACCCGGGACCTCCAGATTTGCAACCGTACATGCCAGCAAATAACAAAAGATATAAGAAACAATATAATACCGATATAATTATCGCTTGCTACGATTTCCGAGATGTTGAGTCGACAGGCGCCTGTGGGCACCGTTGTGATGTAGGAGTAGCCGAGAGGCAGCCGCGGCCGCGCGAAGAGCCCCGACACCAGCCGCCGACCGCAGTGCACGTCGCGGCTACCTGTCGCTGACAGCACCTCGCGACCTACCACCTGCGATGATATCACCATATGAATACTAATAGTATGAAATAAAATGTAACATGTAATCAAATATTTAACGTCCCACTGCTGGGCACGGGCCTCCTTTTAATATGAGGGGGATCAGGCCATAGTCCACCACCCGGCCAAATGGTTGGCGGACTTCATGTTTTTCGAAAACTTGCTAAGTTCTCTTAGACATGCAAGTTTTCTCACGATATTTTCTATCACTGTAAGACAGGTAGGAAATTATTCGCACATGAAAATATAAGAGGTGTGAGACCCGAGACATGTATGTATATTGTACATGTACTCGCAAATAAGTAATTTTGATTCTTACGTATTTATCATTTTTAAACTTATTTATCTTTACTTATTTATTAGTTGTACTTAGTATAAACATAGTACATTTTCATAGCATTTTTTTATCATTTGGTAAACGTAGTTGTAAAGTAAAAAACATATTACTAATAATCCAGACAAATTAGACACTACATTTTAACATAATAGAAGTAAAAAAGCCTAAATGTAAATGAAAAAAAAAACAATTCAAAATTAACCTCATATTCAAATTTAATTAATAGATGTAATGTAACAAATTATATATACAATTTATTGATATAAACCTTTAATTTAACTGACTTTACTATAGAATAGTAACAAAATATTAGTAGCATCGAGTCGAGCGTGAAGAACATGATCATCAATAGGGCGACATCTCGGCGACTCGACGGAGGTACACGGCTGGCACAATACTATCATCATAATCGTTGCACATTGTTCGACACAATACGAGTATGTCAGCTACGCCGTAAAACCTATTATGATATAGCTTAAAGATATTTTTTTATTAACGTTCAAAATTCTATTTTCCTTAGGGTTTGTTAGAAAATAATATTATCGTCTCACTAATAAGTACAAAGTTATTAAATTACATGCTTCAACAAAATTATATAACAATTTTAGATTAGAAATGTTATAATACTTTCTTATTATTTTTTTAATTCTTTTTTTATTTTATAATAAATAAATAAAAATGATACAGATAGATTGGCACTTTTGTCATCTGATTGCATATGTATATGCCTCAGTGGTAAAAAAAAACTGATTTTATGGTCACAGTTAGCTAATTTTATTTTCTGTATGCTCTTTTCTTATAACATATTTTATTTATAAATTTAACGCCTACTAAGTAATAAAATCATACAAACGTATGACAATATGGAAATTGCAGAGTAAAAGCTTTTATTAGAATCTTTGAAGGTTTGAATTGGCGATTACCAAACAAGGCATTTGTGAAGTTTACGACTGTACACAAGCATTTGCTAATAAATACAAAGTACAGAGGTCCGCAGTACAAAACACGCTGATATGGATTGTATTTTCAAAAAAACATAATATATGGTAAAAAGGAACTAAAATAGGTATATAAATTTTTAATGTTACCTATCTAAAAAATATTTTTATACATTCTTTTAATATTTAATATAGTTTATTTTATTAGTTTATTACAAAAAAATTACAATTACGAGAGTATATTTAAGCTTTTTGCAGCGAACAGTAAAACGTAGCCATTATTTTTAATTAATAGATGGTTACTTAAATTACACATACATTGTATGTATGTATGTGTAAGAGAAATAATATAACTACTGGATTATAAAAAATGTTAAATAAAACAGATTATTTGTTACGTTGGTATGTCACAACACTATTAATTTTTACGGCCATAAACGGGTTTGTTATTGTCTTTGTATAAATATTAACTTTTATTTTCATAGTCAACGTTTTATAGCATCAAAGTATCTAAGTCCTCACCTGCGAGTATTTATAATTAGTACATTTTGTAGTGTGAAAGTATTTTTAAAATTATTTGATTGTTTTTTTATTACAAAACAGCGACTCATTCTCACTTTGCTTGGGTCGTGTCCTTAGATACGTTTTAACGGTTAGTATGAAATGGATAGACTACCTATATATTCGTATATGTATTCATATATTATTGATTCTCTATACACACTTTTATCCTCCTTTTCATCCCCTTAAGGGATAGTTTCGGGATGAAAACTATGTCCTTCCTAGAGTCTTAAAATATTTTCATACCAAATTTCATTTAAATCGGTTCATCAGATTTTTAGTTTATCCGTTACAAACAAACATACAAAAAACATTTTTTTTATAATAGTAGTATAGATATATAGATATCCAGTTCAAACTTTACGCATTCGCTAGCGCATAACGAATGTATTATCACATGGCGAGACACAACACCCATAACTAAACAAAGCATTTAGCATAAACATTTAAACTCGTAAACGAGTTTTAGTTCCTCGATAATATGAGCTTCCATACAAGTTTCCTTAATCAGGCACTTTATAAAAGGCTATGTCCGAATACACATTTTTACTAACTTTATTTATATCACTTCAGAGATAGCCTATAATATTAAAAGTATAATCATTAACCAATTTTTTTGCTGACAGTTTCCTTATAGGATTGGTTGTGACTTAAAATGCTTTTATTTTTGCCTAATGGCTTTATTCATATGCAAATGAGCTAGTAAATTCGAATTTATGTTAAAGCCGGCGCCGTTTCACTAACATTGGTAATGTCATATGCGTAAGAATTTTAATGAAGTTAAGATGTGTGTTTATCATTCCGTAAGGCCACGTTCACACTAGCTTTGATAAATATATTGATAAAATTTAAATACTACCCATTATTTATTATCAATATTTATTATCAATCCGGCCTATAATAAATGTTAACTAGTATCTTGTTAGCAGTAATTAGTTCGTTTTTATTACTTGTCTTATTTTATGATGCCTTGATTTTATCTTAGTATAGTGTTTTTAATGGTTAATTGCTTTCTAATATGGATTTTACTGCAATTTTAAACTAAATTTGTAATCTTAAAAGCCAGTGTTTTCTAAAAGAATTTATAAAAAGAATTAAAAATATACTTTTTTAAAAGCATTAATTGTATTTACGATTCAGTTGTTTCTAATGTATACATTAATGAGTGCGTATAAAATAAATCTACTTGCTATTTAATATTATATGCTTCGATATATTAACATAAAATGAACGAACTGTGATCTACAATTTTAATTTTTAGATACCGAGTGAGGTCATTACTAATCAGTCAATATTGTAATACACTCAAAATATACGAATAGGTGTATTTAAAATGTGAATGAGAAACTATGGTCTTGACACTCTCATTAATTATCAGTAAACACCGCTATATAAATCAAACGCAAAGGTAATTGAAAATGTTACTAATAAGCTATTAATTAGGATTATGTGTGAAATGAATCGCCTGTCGTGTGATCGTGATTAATATCATATATCAATGATTTAATTAATTTATTGGGAGATCGAGTTTTAATAAACCTAATCTTAATGTGTAAATTACATTTAAATTAATATGCTCATTTAATATGATATAGGTAATTTTAAAACTAATTATTTACTAACCATGAAATAATCATTGGATTGCTTGATTAGTTGAGTAACTCATTTTGTACTGTGAAATAGGCAAAAGTGTAAGATGTGCTTTTTAACCCCCGTCGCAAAAAGAGGGGTGTTACAAGTTTGACGTCGATCTGTCTGTGTGTAAGTATGTGTGTCTGTCTGTGGCATCGTAGCTCTCAAACGGATGGACCGATTTCGATGCGGTTTTTTTTTCATTTGAAATCCAGTTTTCTTGCGGTTCTTGCTATTTATGTTTGGTTAATATCGGTCCAGCCGTGTAAGAGTATCAGCTCTTTTCCAAAATGATGTAAGGCATTTTAGCGTATGATTACTCGATTAAGTGCTTCACGCGTACCAGTGTAATCGTGAAATGACAATTAATTTGCGTAGGGGTTTTTTAAATTTCAATTTATAATTATAGTATTTTGTTGATACATATTATGTGATCTCGACCTTAATGTAGTTATTGGTTTCCACATTTTAGGTGGCAGTTATAAATTGTCCTAAATCAAAACATTACAAGCAATCAGGCCGATTCTTAATTGGACAGGTGTAATGATATATTGAAGAATAAACTAAATTAAAATATAGTCCATTTGTCGTTATTTTTTAATGTTAACACTTAGCAGTGAATAATAAAAATAGGCGATAAGGTTTAATAAGAACTTAAACAAAAAAAGCATTTATAAGATCATTGTAAATGATTTTTTTGTGCCTTTGACAATTTTTAACCGTTTATTTTATTTTGAACTTTAAGATAATTTGATTAAATAAAGTTGGATACAACTTAAAATACAACATAAATAATTTATATAATGTCAAAATATTGCTATTGTACGTGTTTCTACAGCATAAATTATGACTGATTTAATAGCACATATTACAATAAAACAGCATTCCTAATTATAAATAAATAACGGCTTACATTAATTTAATGATAGGCAAAGCTTTAAGCCAGAAATTTACGATTTTATTTTATTAGTAAATAACTATTTGATGTAAATAACTACTCAAGTACCTAATGCATAATACAGAAACTCAAGTCGTGATATTATAACTCTGCGTGATGCATTTTGATTGAACAATAAAATTATTATAATTTAATTTCCTCAATAACATTCGCAGAAATATTTTATCTAACCTATATAATATTTGAAAAGATGACAAAAAGAAGATTTAAAGACGATTAAGTTTCATAATAAACTTTCAAGAGCTTTTAAAAGCTTGAATATATTACCACATAGATACTTTTAATTATTAGATGCTAATACTTACGATAATCATAAAAATGATGAATATTGTAGCGAGCGGCTTCATCTTCTCTTGTTTCCGTATTAAACCACGAAGGTAATTTATTTCAGATTAAGGACACATATCCTATATTCGCATTAATGGTATGCGACAATTTTCATACTTTGTTATAATTATAATACTAGTTAAATTTACTATAGACAGTATTTGTGTTCAGTTAAAATATTTTTCAAAAATCTAAAGCGCTTGTTTAAATATTAAAATTTATATTCAACCCTTTTTTTACTTTCCACGTGATAATCATGGTGAACATAATTCGTACATGAACAAATATATTAGAGGTACGAAACCAGGTTGGGCTTCTTTACTTGATTTTCTAAACGTTTGCGAAATGGCTATTAAATTAATTAAAATATTTTTAATAAATTTTAAAAAAGTTAAGCTTTCATTCGAGTAGTAAGTACGTTAATTAAGAGTAGAGTGTCCCAAAACAGGGTATATATATATCTCGCGCTGGAGATAGATTTGAGTAAAATATATATATATATATATATATATATTCATTTCAAATTTTACTTAAATCTATTCCAGCGCGAGGAATCCAACTCAACAAATATAACCAAGCTTTTGAATTTTCAATATTGGTGAGATACTATCCATCACCCGCCTTCATGGGCGTACTGTTCTTTTGGTCTTCAGAGACCTTAATTTTAATATAGGTTCTTATAAAATAAATATTTAGGTTAAATAAAAAAAAACACAAATGAAAAAAGTGTGACGTCTTTTGTTTTTATTAGCGGGAAAAAATATTTATGAAAGTAAATTAAAATAAATTTTAAGAGTGAAATCCCACCGTCGATTGTTCAACGTCTCATACCGATATGTTCAGTAGTTTCTACGTGACATGACAATATCATTATAGAATATCTACATATAGTTATCCGAAGTCCTTTTCATAACAGACTAACTAATATTCCACGATGATTATTTTATGTAATAACTTACCACACAACCAATAAAAAACTTAAAAAATATAATATTACATAATAGGAACGGATAATAATGTTATTAATTACGAAAATATCATAGTTACACAGTAACAGGAAATAAACAAAATCTATGAACTAAAATATATCTGTGTATTGTTGTATTAAATTACATGATTCATAGCAAAAAACAAATATTTAACCACAATGTCGTTTAATTTGCGCGGATAAAAACTTTAGCTATTCACAAATTTTATTAAGAAATTAGTCAGCCACTCTAGTTGTATCATTTATTGAGTCATCAAAAACCCATGAAATATATTTTAATGGCCATTAATTTGATGATTATTACACCAAGTATTTGCTGTTAGCAAAATATATAACACCGAATTAGAACCCAGCATTATTAACAGATATATCATCTTTGCACGACGTATACTAATAATGTCAACGGAGGTCACAGTTAATGAGCACGACATCATAAGCCTTAGGCTACAAAAGCTTACAACGAATAAATACCAAAAAAAATAGTAATAAATACCTATATTCTTTTTAATTAATACGATCGGACTACTATAAATGCGAAAGTTTATTTGTGTGTATGTTTGTTACGATTTCATTTTAAAATATAAGAACGGCTCAGGATGTACGTACGTGATATTAAAGCAAGTCGCTAGTATATATTAAAATTGTAGACAGGATAAAGTTGTTTAAAGAATATTTTTCCGTAAATCAATAATGAATTATATATCTATTTCTTGAATGTCTGTTCAAATTCACAAATTAAAAATAATACTTTCGATTAAAAATGTAGCTTAACTTCAGTTTGATCTGTCAAGATCAGTCTAATTTACAACTTAATCTTTAAGCTCGCCATCCTCATATAAACTGAGAAAAAATATAATGTTATATTTATTATAAATTGAAATTATATGCTAATGTTTAATTTAGTCATGGTATAATATACGAGTCTAACTTACAAATACCACGCGTTGAATAATGACAATAATGCTGCCAAGTACTTACTTTGATCTCGCAGAAATCGAAGTCAGCCTAAACGCCTAAGTCCCATTGATATCTTTATTCAGGCAACTCCGCATACATTAAACGTTTCGCATTCGCTACGGATTATAATATTTGCATTAATTTGTCATATTTCAATCTCTTTGATTTGCATGTGGTATGTAATGCAATTACCCGTATTTCAAGATTACAGTGAGCATCTTATTTGCATTCAGAAACTTACACCGTTTTAACGGCACGAGTTTACTTATAGTAGGTATATCGCAATATCTAACGATACTTATAAATTCTTCAAAGAAACTATTAAAATATTTTAAATGCTGTAATGAAAATATTTATGCACTTACTTGCTTTTTAATTGTAGTAAAATATGCTTTAACTCTAAACTATTTACCCCGTTCAAATGCTTTCATATGTTAATTTTTTGTGAAATAAATAACTGCATGTCAAGAATATGGATCAAGGTAATCATATAATTTGCACATATCAAACGTCTTGCATTTTTAATAGATACTAAAAATTATGACTGTAAAATATTATGTGAATTTTAACTGCAGTTAATTTTGTATATAGGCTGAGTACACATCATCCTAGAAGCATACTGAATGTGGCATACTTTGAATTTTCTTAAGCTCGTAAACCCGTTGATGGCTGGACGCCAACAGCTGTACGATTCATTGAATTCAAGCTATTGTAACGGGTGGATAATCCCAAATGTATCAATATTGAGGGCGGTGTAGAGTAACTATGATTAAACCGTTTCGGTTGGATAGACCATCTGAATCGTGGTCCTGTTACATCATGGTGTACGCTAAATGACCTAACATCTAATAATATAATTTCTTATTTGAGTCACTGTGGAATGAGAGCGTTACACAACTGGTAAAATATTGCTCTGAAGTACCTTGTCTTATATTCGGACCTTTTTAACATCCCACAGCTGGACACGGGTCTACAATACGAGGGGAATCAGGCCATAGTCCACCACGGCCAATTGCGGGTTGGCAGACTTCACATTTCTTTAGAAAACTTGCGAGGTTCGCCGAGACATGCAGATTTCCTCATGATGATTTCCTTCACCGTAAGATAAGTGGTAATCATTTTGGAAATGATTCGCACAAGAAAATATCAGAGGTTCTAGATCGGGGGATTTGAACCCGCTTCACTTGGTTTCCCGAGCGAAGGCGATACCATTGGGCTACCACAGTTCATTACCTTAGATGATGACTATCTTATACACTGATATCAATCCGTTGTTATAGAAAATGCAACATCATATTTATAATAATGTAATTGAATGTAATAAATTTCAGTCTCTGGATATGAAGACATGTCTAAATAACAAATAACTCTGTCACGATAGGGCCAGATTGATGTTCTGTGGCGGACAACACGCAACAAGCAAAATTTCGTTCAAGATTGTACTCGTATATGGAACAAACAAAATTACAGACATTTGTCATAGTGATTGTTAGGAATGTAACAGTGATGTGAATTTAAGATAAAATCGTTGATTTCTCTTTTTTAATGAATTATTAATATACTTTTCTTAATATTAAAAAGATAATTTTTAATAAAATTTAAATAAATATTAACTTTGGTTATTCTTAAAATTAGATATATCTTAAATCACATTACAATTATAAATACGAAAGTTGGTGTGTTCGTATGCTTGTTTGTCTTCATGGCCAAATAGCTGGTAGGATTTGGAGGAAATTTAGTACACAAATAAACTTAACACTATGCCTATATAACTGGAAATATGTATAAACCTGATATTACATAGGCTAATGTTAGTAACAAAATTTGCCAAAAGATGGCATTGTCTGTATAATATTACACAATATATATATACACATAGGGAAGCACACTAATAAAGCACCCAAGTAAAGCAAGGGTAAGCTGCTAGTTAAGTACCTATGTATAAACATTTGTGAACGACGCTTGTTGACGTTGTAAGAAAGATTATTTTAATTCGTTATAGAACGTTAGAGAGGTCTGCGGCCTTTAAATAGCTTCTCTATGACAATATTAGTATATTTAATATTGTTTATATATCACTGTTAGTGGTAAATCTAACTTTAAGACTTAATTTGGTCATTTATCTCTGCTGAACATGTTGATTATTTCAAAACAATATAATACTTGCTTCATAAACTCATTAAATAAATAAAATATTTTATATCTTAAGTTTTTTTTATTTTCAAATGATTTTTTTCACAAAAAGTTGAAGTTGATACGTATATTATTAATGTTATGATTATTTTATCAATCACAATTTGAATGATGCTAATAAAAAGTTTTAAGTAATATTTTAAGAAATAAAAAGTTTTAAGTAATATTTTAAGAATAAAAAAGAATAAGTGTGCAGTGACGTAGCTATGCCAATGCAACTAATGCGGTCGCATGGGGCCTCTGGTTTAAGTGGACCTCAGCAGGCCTCAAACGATTCTTTTATTTCAAAACATTTTTCTAGAACGGCCTCATAGAAGTTTAAAAAAAACACAAAAAAATAGTTTTTCTGTATGTTTATATTTTACTACTTACGCTTTAACGTTTAGTATAGATTACTCAGGGATGAGATATATTCCCGCAGTAAAAAGTATCCCCCGGATAACTTACTACCATCATACCAAATTTCATCAAAATCCCTTCAGTGGCTTTTCGTATAGCGGTCACAGACAGACAGACTGACAAAATTTCTAAAAACTATAGTTTCGGCCTCTGTATCGATAATAATGTCGATTTCTATAAGATTTTCCAAAAAAAAATTAATGTACAAATTCGGCTTACTTACAATTTTATTATATGTATAGACGAGGACCACGAGGAATATGATCGTACCTATGTTCAATAAACAGATGGATGGTCTTCTAAGCTCAGTTTTTAAGTAAATTTTACTCTATCCGTTCTTCTGTGAGAGCGGTTTGAAAAAAATAAGAAGTTTGAAAACTGAAACTAGGCACTTCCATTTTTAGGTGTTAGTATTATAAAGATGTAAATTGTAAACATTTACTATTAAATATGGATTTGTCTACATTAACACACTACTGTTCT